CCATCGGCCCCTCTGGCCAACACCAGTAGGCGGCAGGTGAAGTGTCTTTCCCAAGGACTCAACGACCGAGACTGTCCGAACGCGCAACCTTCCGGTTACAAGACGAACTGCCAACTCTTTGAGCCACGATCTAGTCCGCATAACACTGAATCGAAGAAATGATACGACTTCAGAGTCGTGTTTATAGTATACAGCTGTCTCTCTTGTGTGTTGTCTCTGTGTGTGTGTGTGTGTGTGTGTAATGTTGTGTGTGTGTGTGTGTGTGTGTGTGTGTGTGTGTGTGTGTGTGTGTGTGTGTGTGTGTGTGGTGGTCGTGTCAGTTATTGCCCTTTAACTGCCTAATAAAGTTTGTTTCTGGAGCTGACTGACCCTCCTTCATCATCACATTTAACCTTCTGACAACTATCTGAGCTGCCCTTTACATCCAAACACACACATTGCACGCACACACGCGCTCTCTATCACGCACATACACACAGCACACAAATGCATGGCTCTGAAGCGGTGATTATCTCCCTCACTTCTCTCTCTCTCCATCCAACCATCCAGAGCCGCCTTGCGCCTCTGCAGGGCCGCAAACAGACAGAAGACAAGAGGTGTAGCATTTCCTATTGTTACATTCATAATACAGGGGGGGGGGGGAATTTCACTAAAATTCACTAACGTCCCAGTTGTAAAGTAATGGCTTAAAACAAAAAAAGAAAAAAAAAAAAAAAACAAACCCAAATTCCCTGAAGTGACTATGAGTTCTGTAACAATATTAAATAAAATAGGCTTATAACTGAAAAATATAAGTTAAACTTTGACCTTGGTGCTAGACTGATAAAAACAATTTAAAAAAATCATGATCATCATCAGATTTTGTGGACATTCTGCTGTTTGTTTTCCAAAACGTTACCCTGAAAATGTTCAAATTTAAGTATTTGGTTTCTAGTATCTAATCATACTTAGAACATAATTGCAAGAGAACAGGGACGTAACAAGTTACAATTTTCAAGGAAACGCAAAGCAAAATATGTTGTTAGAAGCTTTGTAAGTGGTGGTAGCTGACAGGGTATTTTAAAAGAAAGGAGACACAAATTGCCTTATAAGTATAATTTGTACAAGTAGCATAAAAGACTGTGACCAAGTGCATGAGCTCTTGGAGCAGAGATCGAGAAGGATCTAGTAACAAAATGACCAAGTAGTCCATCAGTATCTTCAAAGAAAACATGATTTTATTTTTTTCAGTAAACGGAGGCAAAGTGATACATTCGAGTAATTTAACCCATCAAACTTCTGATAAGCTTCACTCACCCACATTCTAACTGACTTATCTCTGTTTGTGTGAAAGATAAAAGTCCAATCAGAAGCTCCCGGAAAGGTCACAGTCTCCCTTCCACGTCTGTCAGCACCACAAACACAACAGCCTCCTCCCTCCAGACGGACATGATACAGTAAAATGAGTTGCTGCTGTTTGTAGAGCTGAACTCGCGGCGTTCCTCCAGCTTTACTGCAAAACCTCAGAGGACATGTAGGATCCCTAAAATTCACACACACCCACACGCACAGTGAAGAATTCCCAACACTTGCACAGCTTCTGACAAGAACGTTTAATGTGTTTAAGTGGGCAGATGGTGTGCAGCAGTTAGTATCCTAAAAACAGCTACTTGGCAAAACAACAAGCTCAAAGAGTCGAAAAAGCTCATGCCTCTCTGTGATCTCCACGGTGCAGATGTAGATTCATTTGAATAAGAGCAACATTTCAATCAGACTGTTTTTATGCTCAGGGGCATGAAATTGTTTTTAAAAAGTAAAGGATATTCATTTTATGTTGGGTGGGAACTGGTAACAGCCATGAAACTGTGGCACTATACACTGAATGTGATGGATATTTGGATTATGAGCGATTGAATATGTAGCCTGTTTGCTTTATTAGATTCTTCTTTCTTTAGTGTGGCTCCACAGAGTCAGCTTCAAGTTTTAAATCTAAAATGAGATCATGCATAGTTCACGGTTAAAGAATTCCTCACTCTGAAGACCCTTTGAGAACACCAAGAGCACCACATTCTCAAAATGCTTGCCCTCCCAACCAAAACCAAATGTCCCGAGTCGCTTAACTTGAACAAGTTTTATTTTCTTTCCAATAGCTACTTTAGAGCTCTGGCTACACTGAAACCAAGTGCTCAGCCTGGCGTCTTTGGATTTAATGCTTATTTAAAGTAAATGGAGGCGGCCGCGTGCCAGTCTAAACACCATCCTGCTTTGTTTGGCCCTTTTTTATGAGGACGCGCTCGATGATGACATAGAGTGAAATAGAGAAAGTTGCCGATGTGTCTACACGGACATTCACACATACATCTGTCTGTTTCTAGCTCCATAGATAGAGCTGTACCGCAGGATATTTACTATCTGCTGGGTTACACACAGGCAGCACAGGTCTGTGTGTGGCCATAAACAAGATCATTGTTAGTTTAGTTTAGTTTGGTGTTACATTTACCTTATTCACCTTATGAAATTATGACAATGTGCACAGCAGCAGGTATATTTCACATAATAAAATAAACTGCAATACAGCAACTTTTTTCTTTTTTTTACATCTCAGACAAATTTGCAAATTTTGATCCTAATACTTAAATAAACAAATACTTACATTGCTGTAAGAGAGAAATAGTGAAAACATATGTTTGGGGGCCCCGCGGGGACCATGAGGCTCATCGATGGAGTCCTGTCAGATCTTGATTGTGCAGTTTTTGATATGTTACACTTTGTTCTGTAAAGACTCATAGAAAGCTTAATAAAAGTCTACAAATGCATTCTGAATTGTTGTAAAGTACATATGAAAAACAGGATTGTGTTATTCAGTATCTTTGCAGAAGGAAGACAACAGAAACTGAAGGGAAACTTTGCTCCTGGGACATTTGTTTATGTCCCTTTCTCTCAGTGTGTTTTGCCCACACGGGATAATAAAAAACTGAGAGATAAATGTTAGAGTTTAGAAAAAAGCTTTTCTAATAAATTTGCTCTTGATTGCAACACTTATCGGAAATATCGGAGTGGTTGTGTTGGCATGTGCAACTTCTTTTCATATAGTTTACCAAATTTAAGTCCCATTTCACATATAAAGCAAGTTAATACATAAACAAAAATTACTGTATGTCTACAGGAGTGAACCATTCATTTTCCCCAAGAGGGCCACACTAGAGGTAAGGTCAAAAATAAAAGTGAGTTCAACCCTCTGCAGCAGTCCCAGTCACTCATGTGGCCCTTTGGGAAAATTAATTGCCCACTTTTTGTGTACATGGATGATCAGAAGTGTCCACACAACACAAACACACAGACATGTGAGCCCGAAATTATTTTTTTTATTTTTTTTTATTTTTGTGTTTAGTCATCAATTTGTGATGTCTGAGTTTAGGCTTTGTCCTTATGATGTATCCTAATAGTCCAGTAAAAGGACATATATTATTTTCTTTGTTTCACCAAATTAATTTTATTTCCCAGACTGTAAGAACCAACAGTGAAAGCTCCACTTCACCAGGATACAGTGTTCAACTGTGTGATTACATTTTGGACCGACAGATTGTCCCAGGCGTACTCCAAACTTCCACGTTACTGATTCCAAAGAAGAATAAGCTTTCCCATTAGAATGAACTACAAACAACCTTTTTCTGTGGTATTCACTGTGAATGTGTGTGTATGAAACAACACATGCAGCTGAAAACTGTCTTAAAAAGTTACTTGAATAAAATGAGTCACGTAGATATTTTGAATCCGCGCCTTTGAAACTATAATTTTTGATGCTGCACGTTGGCAGGTTCAATAAAGAAGCACTGCCACTGATTCAGTAATTCTAATATCGCAGCTGTTTGTGAAGAGTCCAGCTACCAGGCGCCGTCCACCTGCCATGTGTCCAGAGAGGAAAAACTCGCAGGAGGACCAGAGGGAGATGGGTGAATGAGGCGAGGGGTCCCACTGCAAAACGGAAAGGGGAGCTGATAGGAGCAGATTAGGCCGGGCTAAAAACGTCAGTCAGTTTTCTTGGAGGAATTTTAATTGCCCCGGGGGGGGCTGCTTATCGGCCCAGAGCGGTTATTAATACAACAGCAGCGATAAAGAGGACAGAGGGACACCGAGCAGAGCTGCTGGAAGACGAGGCTGCAGAGGCGCAGAGAGACCGGGCATCACAACAGTCTGCTGAGAGTTCTGAGAGTGAACAGAAATGATAGCAGCTCCGTGTTGTGCAGTAAACAGCGGGGATCTGCGCCTCAGTGGAGCTGCAGTGAGTGGCAGGTTTAAAGCGCCATCAGACACTTTTATTGCTCCGCTGTTACATGAAACGGGGAAGTTTTCTGGAGTATTTTACGCACGTCCCTGATGTGCAGTCCAGCTTCTCTAAAAAACAGAGTAAAGGTTTGAAAATCTGGAGCTTTGTGAGACGGAAGCGAGCGGCCTTTACTGAACGCAGTCAATGTCTCAAAGAATAAAAACAGTACGCGTTTGTACATATTGACCATTATGTGTTCCATCGCATATATATTTTATTTCTGGCTGCTGTTTTTGACCACTTTTAAGCCAAAAAAAGAGCCAATTTTAAAGCCACCTTTGTTCCACATTTTGGCTGTGAAAATGCCTCCTGGCGCTAAAAATTGTCGTTTATTATTTTGGGTAATGATTTTCAGAGAAACTTCTACTATTAGTCAACTCAGTTACACTTCATCTACAAGGCAGGAACTCTTAACCTGACCTTGACGTATCACCGCCGACACGAACTGTTAGCCTCTGAAAAGCGCACGGATTGGCACAAAAACCAAGGGCCACACAAAACTACAAGGACCCCGGGGGTATAAATGGTAAATGGCCTGCATTTATATAGCGCTTTACTAGTCCCTAAGGACCCCAAAGCGCTTTACATATCCAGTCATCCACCCATTCACGTACACATTCACACACTGGTGTGATAACCAGTGTAAAATAACAATAATAATTTAAAAATAACTCTGTACATTAGATTCAAATATAATAATAAACGTATAGGGCCAGCTATTTGCAGGGCTGTTTCTGTGCTTCTTGGAGCTAAATGAGTGCGTAAAAAGTGGGGAAACTAATTTAAGTACAATCTAAGGAGCTTGGAAAAACAAAGCGTCTGGACTTCTTTAAGTTTCTTGACTACGTTTCATCTCTCATCCGAGAAGCCTCTTCAGCTGTATAGCGCAATTGGTGGAGAGTCCCAGATTTTAAGTCCTGTTGGGACTGTCCCCAAGATGTACAGAAACATGAAGGAACCGGGCAGTGGACGAGTATTGTCAGTACAATTCTTAGTTCACCACGTTCAAAAAACATAACCAGTCCGTGCAAACGCGTCACCTATGCCCCTCCCTCCTCTCTCTCTAATTCCCAAACGTTTCTCTTCCAGCCTTCACGGACTTTCCATTTCACACACACCCCTCCCCCTGATACCAGAAGAGGCAGAGGTGCTCCTTCCCCTCCCCGGTCCAAACTTCACTCACAAAGCCCGATATTATATCTGTCAGGCAAGACATTTGCATGGACAAACCCGGGACTAATACCCGTGTTTTCGTGCGATTTATGGCGATGAGGGATTTCAGAGGCTTAACGCACCTCCGATTGCCAAACAAGGGGCTTTTACGCTCAATTATTTGCTAGAGAAAAAAGTGGGAAAAGGCGAAGGGGAGTGCATGTTACTCGGAGGGCTTCATTTCCTCGATGCTGCAGAGCAGGAGCTGGATGACATGATGCTGCAGAGCCCGCTCACCTCCACGCCGTTTTCTGTCAAGGATATCCTGAAGCTGGAGCAGCAGCAACAACAACAGCAACAGCAGCAGTCCGGAACCCTGGAGCTCACGCACCGAATCCACACCCAGCAGCACTTGTCCCGCTCTCCTCCCCAGCAGCAGCAGCAGCATTTCCAAACCGCGCCGTCCTGCATGCTCGTCGGAGCCCGGGACAGCCCTTCCTTCTCGGACGGAGAAGACAACCTGGCTTACCTCAGCGCGCTTGCAGTGCGGGAGGAAGAACGGGGGGACACCAGCCTATCTCCGGACATGTACGTGCATCCCGGCTTGCAGGGAGCCAAGTTAGAGGCCGCCGAGCTGGAGGAACAGGAAAGCAGTGAGTACAAACTCGAGCTGCTGTTGTAAAAACTGCACGAAAAGGCAAAAGACGCGCGTAAAAGTATTTTAAAAAATTTCAACAGGCCTTTTAAAAAAACCCAGAAATATTCACAGTATAAAGGACGAAAGAGCAAAGCGGATTAAACCTTTAATATGTCAAATTTTCAGTGCCCGCAGAATGCTTTACATGTTTACCACAAACTCAGTGACCTGTAACCCAACCAAACAGCAAATAGTAAAAATGCCTCTAATGTTAACATCAACTTTCACACAACACTTTCTTTGTAACTGATCTGGTCACAGTTGTATGGCTCATTATCAAATTTAATACCAAGAGACTTTAAACTTAATGTGAGCCACGTGAGAAAACATAACATAGTTTGTGAAATGTTCTAAATAATATACGCGTGACCTTAAAGATGACACCCGGCGGAAAAATCAAAAGATAATACGTGCAAAAAATACTTAATAAAATACGTGGATCATAATTTGGGTTACGCGGCTTTCTGGGGCCTCTTGTCTCTGCCCGGCTCTTCCGTCTGCACACACGCCGGGCGTTATTCCAATAAAGAGCTTCCAAATGGTGGAAGTCAGAAGCCCTGAGACGAATCCAGTAAAGTCTGGAGATGTCAAACACTTTCTAGTGGTTCAGTCGCTTGCCTGTTATTTGGAGTCTGTTATGCTGTCTGGACCATAAACCGACAATTAGTTTAAAGAGGCTTGTAAAAGAAGTGACACCGACAAGTAGCGCTAATAAACACAGGCGGACACGGCGACTTCGGCTCCTCTCTACAGAGTTCACACAATTATTCATCAGACATAAACTGTTGACAGAATTAGCGGGTAGGTGACTTGCATCCTTCTATGTTCAGAAGTGTTAAAAATAAATGAATAAATAAACCAACTATAATTAGTCCATTCCGGCGTTGCGTGTTTTATCTTTGAATTGTGCGCCCTGGCTAAAAGCTTGAGCTGCAGTGGAGTGTTGTCTCTGCGGTGACAGGTTCTCGTGAAGCTGACAGGTACTGACGGGCCTGTGGCTTCAGTTCAATACTTTATTGAGTGAGGATTAAAACAAATACCACAATTGGGAGACATGATTACCGTGTTTTCTTAAAGAGATATTAACTTCATACTTCTGTGAATTTCCCAACCTGCCCAGAAAACTGCGGGCTGGTGTCCCGGGAGGAAGCAGCCGAGGGCGGGCAGGGCGACACGGAGAGGCCGGTGCAGAAGCAGAGGAGCCGGCGGAGACCCAGAGTGCTTTTCTCCCAGGCGCAGGTCTTCGAGCTGGAGAGGCGCTTCAAGCAGCAGCGCTACCTGTCCGCCCCGGAGCGAGAGCACCTGGCGACCACCCTCAAACTCACTTCTAACCAGGTGAAGATCTGGTTTCAGAACCGCCGCTACAAGTGCAAACGGCAGCGGCAAGACAAGTCTCTGGAAGCGACGGGGCAGCATCATCCTCCGCCGCCGAGGCGCGTGGCCGTACCGGTGCTGGTTCGGGATGGGAAGCCGTGTCTGGGAGGAGCGCAGAGCTATGCCGCCGCGGCTACTGCTCCGTACGGATCCAATCCGTACGGCTATAACGGATACCCGGCCTACACGTACAACAGCCCGGCGTATAACACCAACTACAGCTGCACCTACACCAGTATCCCCGCCCTTCCTCCCTCCGGCACCCCCAACGCCTTCATGAACATGAACTTGGGAAACGTGAGCGGCCTCGGCAGCTCCCCACAGGCTCAAACACACCAAGGGACAGCGGTCACATCTTGTCAGGGCTCGCTGCAGGGGATCAGGGCCTGGTAGCCTCACCATAACAGAACCAGTATCTTTTTTTTAAACGGAGTTCTTCAACCCACATTCTTTCCTTTAGAAGTGTGTATTAACCTGGTCAAAATACAGCCAGAATACAGTATTGCTTATAACGGATGCGCGTTTGGATTCACTTTTCCGGATATTTGGAGAATTATAGAGAAAATTAGTTTCCGTAATTTGCTGGTTGTCGAATTTCTGAACAGAACTGGCTTGGGTGATTTTTTTTTCTGTGGTCCAATATTTGTTGGTGCTCTAGTTCGGCACTGAAGCACAGAGGGGAAGTTACGCACAAGTTTGCGCATTTCTCCTTAATTGAACTGAAAAAGACTGTTTTTTAACGATTGTTTTTGTCGTTTATATTTTTAGGTTATGGAGAGACTGAACTGCTTTAAAATGTTTTTTTTGTTCAACAGAGAATTGTTTTAGTCTATTTCACATCTATACAAATAAACCCAAGAGATTAAAGAAAGTGCGTTTTGATTCTGTATCCGCACAGAAGCATAATAATCTTATTGTATGTGCTAAATTTGAGAAAGAACGATTATACCAAAATACATCACAGAGAAGAAAATGAAATCCTATCTTCCCCTAAATTTGCAAAGAAATATTGTTGATTGTATATATTTGCCTCCATACGGTGTAACAGTGAATCAGATGGTGAATATTAGTGAATCTGATTCGTGGTGGCAGATTTTGCTCATAAACACAGGTCCTGGTAGAAGCTAGGACACAGGACCTCTTTGTCCCGGTGCAAGGCGACGTGAAAGGAGGAAGTTATTCTCCATTTGAGGTCCTTAAAAGGACGCGATTAAGCACCTAAAATACCCGAAGAGCGAGCTGCAGCCGGGCTAGGGAGCGAGAATAATGGCTCTTATTGGATTGTCGGACAAAAGGTGTGTGGTAGGCAGAGCTGGGCACTCAGCAAAGACAAAAGCGCACAGGGGCCGTGAGATTGACGTCCTAATATTCCCATTTGAGCGACAGGCAGCGGGTTATTCTGCGCGGAGAAGGGGACATGGAGGAAAAATGTGGTCACTTTTGTTCCCCTTCAGGAGGCTTTTTTTGTTCGCGGAGAAAGGCTCTCCGAGATCCCCAGCCGTGAGGCTTCGGGGGCAGCCGGGCTCGAGGTGATGGCAGCGGGGAGGCGTTTGTGTGAAAGAAGAGGGTATTATTGCTACAAGTTTCACCATTTATCCCGAGGAGGAAAATGGACTGGAGAATTTTAAGGGGGTGAGCCCGGTGAGGCTGCAGTGCAGCCTATTATTTCAGTATGAGGGTGTTATTTCAGCTCATTCTCACAGGTAACAGTCCAAACTCAGAAAGAAAAATCTTCTGAATACATATATTTATGGATCTATTAACACAAGTAATTATACAATATCACAGAAAGAAATCACATTCAATAGATTTCAGAAGACCTTTGCGCATTAGTGAAAGAAAAGTTGACACACGGATATTTTAATATTTTTCGCGCAGGCCAAGAATCCAAGGTTCTTATTTCGAAGGGTACAAAATCAGAATATTTCCCTGGAATGGTCCGTTGTTGATTCAACTACGAAATAAAGCTACAAAAGTATTTTTTATTTTATTTTATTTTTTTATTGTTTTATTGTTTATTTTCGATTGGTCAGAGTTTAGTCCAGTGTCAAAAAAGGTTACTGACTTAAAATGAATGGACAGCAGTTTGGGAATATTTTCCAATCCAAATTTCTCATATTTGATAATCAGTTGTTTCTTCCTACGTAGTAAATGTAAAAATTCTAAAACACAATACAAATAAAGCGGAAAATACTCAAATAGCGAAGATGCCCCCTAAGATTCCGAAAAGTTTTGTAGATTAATTTCAGTTCACCAATTTCTGATATTTTATAAGAACAACTATAAGCTGATATTCAGAGGTGTACCAAAATAACAACATTGACAGTTTGGCTGGTTGGTGATTTGGTGAGAAGAATTCCTTTTCGCTGGCTCTTAATCGAGCGTTACGCACAAGTGAGGACCAAAAACAGGCACTGGGCATAATTTGAGGAGCAAGCTCGTCTCAAACCTGTGTTTTGTCGTTTATGGGACGAAAAATCTGTCCAGCTATTTGCTAAAATAATTCTTAAGAAGATAAATGATGAGGGAAGTTATGAGAAAATTAGGGAGGGAAAGCATCAATTGCTGTTTTTCCCCTGCGAGTAATTGTTCCTCCGGCCTGAGAACAATTGTTTCCCAAACCCATTCTTGTGTAATTACACCCACACACTCGTGTCCTAATGGGAGACCGTAGCCAACATTGAGAGCAAACACCGGGAGCTACGTTTACTAGAGCGTCTCACACCGAAACCTCACTTGTGCGTTACTGTGTGAAAGTGGGGCACGGGTTCAGTGAGTCAGTAATATATAAATTTCGAAATAAGTACTTTATGTCCGCGCGCGCGCGCGCGCGCGCGCGCACACACACACACACACACACACACACACACACACACACACACACTGCGTCACTGAATTTAATTAAAATCTGTATAACTGTCCTAAAGTAACTGCTGCGTTAATAAGAACAGACACAGCCAATATCAGTATAATTATCGTTGTTGGTGATCGGTGCGTCTCTCACGCTTCTTCCCTGCTAGACTGTCCGGCTTTGTGCTCAGATTGAGATCTGTCCGTCTAAGCTGTTAACCAGCCCATCTCCTGTTTGGGACAAAACAACATTAGAGGCCACCAGAGCGGCCTTAATGCCTTCTCCCGTACTAATGGGGATTAATTGAGAGGTAAACACAGAAAGCTGATAAGCTCTGCGCCCTGAAGTGCTGCCGGCCCGCAGGACAGAGACTGATGGAGGCAAATAAAAGGGAGACAGAGAGGCGTCTAGCAGGTAAACACAACTATCTGCAAGGTCACGAGGAAGTGAATAAACAACAACAACAACAACAACA